CGATCATGCCTACAATTACCTTCCCCTTGCCCCTGCCTCAGCATCATGCTCCGCCATTGTTAAATGCTCTGAGACGCCCCCGGCTTGGAGGGTTCTATAAAAATGCAAGTTGTTGTTAAAGACTCTCCACAAAAATTCTTAAGGATTCTTAGAGAAACTAGGGATGAGATAGCATGTATATATCAAAGAACTAAGGAAGGACAGGAATGGCCAATGTTATATCTATTCGGAAAAAAAGTTGATAGAGCGAATCTTGGAAACCACAGGCCAGTCAGCATAATATTGGTTGTGGGCAAAATATTGGAATCTATAATAATAACTAGTCATCTGGAAAAGGGGAATATATTTGCAAGCAGCCAGCATGAATTTAAGGTTACGTTTGACCAACCTTTTCAAATTCTTTGAAGATGTAACCAATATAGTTGACAGGAAATGCAGTTGATGTAGTGTATCTGGATTTTCAGATCTTTGATAAAGTGCCACATGAGAAGCTCATGCTAAAATAGGGTCATGTGGAATCATGGAAGAGGTAGCAGAATGTATTGAAGAGCAGTTCAGAAAGCGAAAGCAAATGGTAGGAGATAAAGATATCTTCTCAAGCTGGTGAGAGTTAGGGATTGGTGTTCAGCAGGGATCTGTGTAAGGGCCGCTATGAATTGCCTTACACGTAAATGATGTGGATGGAGGTACAAGAGGTGTGGGATCAAAATTGCATATGACACCAACCTGGTGGCATAGTAATTAGGAGCATGGTAATGATGTCTATTGTGGTAAAATTATGGAGATTCTTATTAATGATAAAATCATGGAGAATCTGGACAGAAATAAAATCATAAATGATAGCCAATATGGGTTAATGAAGGGAAGGTCTTGCCAATCTAATGTACTGGTTTTCTTTGATGGTGTGACAAGGGAGCTTGGTAAGGGTAAGGCTGTGCATGTTGCATATCTGGATTTCAATAAGGCCTTTGACACAGTTCCCCTTGAGAGGCTGGCACTGAAAGTAAAGAAAACAGGAATCAGTGGAGGTATATTACAATGGATACGTAATTGTTTGGCTGGAAGAACCCAGAGGGTGGTGGTACAGGGAATATCATCAAACTGCGAAAATATTACCAGTGGAGTTTCACAAGCGTCTCTTTTGTTCAATGTTTTTATAAATGATCTGGAACTAGGAGTCACAAACACAATGGATAAGTTTGTAGATGACACCAAACTAATGAAGGTGATAGATTGCGAAGCTGAACGAGATAGGTTACAGGAGGGTTTGAACACACTTGGGAATTGGCAGATGAAATTCAATGTGGAGAAATGTAAAGTACTTCACATGGGAACAAAAAATCCATTAACACCCTACAGAACACCTACTCTACCATCCCTCCATCATAGCATCAGGCAGCCAGAGTAACCCAGATTCTGAATGCAGTGTTTATGAAGATTGCATCAACAGTCAAATTTCTGTGTGCATGTGTAGTAATAGATACATAAAGATGGTGGTGGTGAATAAAATAGTGTCCTGTCATCCTGGATCTCTCCCAGAGGTGTGCCAGTGTAATCCCAACAAGATCACAATTCTGATTGACAACTCGTCACATCACTATGTGGGATGGTGCTTCTGTAGATTTGATGCTGTATTTCCTTACATAATATTCACTACAGTTAAAATAGCTTCTTGTGGATACTTTCAGATGTTTTAGTGTCATACGTCACTATATCTAAATGGATAATATTATAAATGTCTCCATAAGCTGTAACAGAGAAGGTCACAAAGGGATCGAATACTGACAAGTTCTGGGATTATAAATGCACAGAGTAGATTGGTGAATTTTTTGTTTTTTTCAGCCAGACGTCTGACACACAGAAATCCATCACCATACATTACCCCATAAATCCAGCAGATTGAACGACCTTCAGTGCAGCAGATTCAGTCAGTAGGAAAGGGAACATGTGAGAAGCAGATGGAGGGAGGAGTAATGAGGACGACGTGTTGGGAAATGGTTGGACAATCAAACGTTCTTTCTGATGTGGTGATAAGTCACTTCTGTAACTTTGCTACCAGGTGATGCTCTGATAGGAGTTGCTGTATTTCGCATCCGCTCTTGTCACAATTGAATAGTTGGTGCCACAGCCAACCAGAACCACACAAAGCAGCCAAACCCATTGTGCATGTTGATTTTCCATCATTGAAACCTGCTTCAGGTTCCTCTGCCCCTCCCCACATTGTACAGTGGGGAGGCCTGGGCTACCCAATTGATTCACTTTCCTATTGCACTATAATTTTACTTGGATGTAATAAGTTTATGAGTATGTTCTCAGGGATGAATGGATACTAACAGGAAAGACTGGACAATTTGGAACTTTTGAAATTTGTATAGCGCCTTTAACGTCAGGAGGACATCCCAAGGCACTGAACAATCAGTGTTTCCGAGCTGGGGGTCAGGATTTGGGAGCGTTAACGAATGTGGGTGAAAGAGGGGTAAACAAAGGCAGGGTCAAAGAGGAGGTTCTTGAGATGGGTCTTAATAATAATAATAATCCTTGCATTTGATATAGTGCTTTTCACGTCTTCTAGACGTCTCAAAGCACTTCAACGAATATACTGTAAAGTGAATTGACTGTATATTTGTGGGCGAAACGAGGGTCTTGAAGGAGGCAAAGAAGGGGCCAGGCAGTAGGACTGTGGGATGGAATTCCAGAGATTGGGGGCAGAGTGGCTGAAGGCCTGCCTCTCCAATGGTGGGGTGAGCTGGGTGACATGAAGTAGGCAGGAGCCCGCTGAATGGAGGGAGCAGGCAGGATGGTAGGGGGTTATGAGGTCACAGAGATAGGGGTGATCAAATCCATGTGGGACTTTGAAGGTGAGAACCAGGATCTTGAATGTTATCCTCTGTGTGATGGAAAGCCAGTGGAGTTGGGTGGGTATGGGCATGATAGGTTCACGGAGCCTGGTGCGGGAGTGGACACAGGTTGCAGAGTTCTGGATTATCTGTAGCCTATGGAGGGAGGAGTTGGGGAGGCCGACAAGCCGGAAGTTTCCATAGTCAAGCCTGGATGTTAGAAATGTGTGTATGAAGACTTTGGCCACTTGTAGTGTGAGACAGTGGTGGAACCGGGCGATGTTGCGGAGGTGGGGGAAAGCAGAGCAGACCATGGTACAGGCGTGGAGTAGAAAGGATACTTGAGGGTCAAACATGAAGCCAAGGTTCTGGACTGGCTTAATAAGGTGGAGTGTGTATCCTTGGACGATAGCATTGCATTCAAAGGCCTGGAGATATGCCGAGCCCAGCATTGCTTGCCAAGCTCGCCAGAGTCCTGACTGCGATATTCCAGGAGGTCATCATCTTCTGCCTCTCGGGCAAGCCACCGCACATAGACACCCAGAAAGACAAGCAGACAGAGAGAGAGAGAGACACACAAACATTACAGCCAGTGGGGAAGACATGCACATTGACAGACAGCGTGCCCACAGACAATCTCAGCAGTGGCAGCTGTTGGAGGTGGGGGGGGTCATGGTCACTCCCCAGAAAGCAAATCCCATGTCCCCTCTGGAGCCATGTCTGGAACTGCTCCACCACAGTCGTATGCACAGAGGCACCAAAGAGAGAGGCCAAGCAAACAGTGGGCAGCAGGGTATAGAGAGGCCAGGGGCAGAGCAATCTTCACTTTTACTGTTTCTCGTGATGTGTTTATTTTCGTTGATTCCGTGAAAAAATCACAGGGCGATTTTCTATTGGCCCAGGCTATGAGCAACAATTCAACAAGCTAGGGTTCTTCAACTTTAAAAGAAGACAACTCAGAGGGAATCTCATGGAGGATTGAAATTGTAAACCCAGATCGATATTTTAAGATGTATATGACAGTACAACAAGATGACACAGGTTTAGAGATGTAAAGGAGAATTTCAGTACAAACACCAGGAAGTTTTTCTTTACCCAGAAGGTAATTAACGACTGGAACAAGTTGACAGGATGGCTGACTGAGGCCAGGCCACTGGATTAATTTAAAAAGCAGCTCTGTGCTGTGATAACAATGGGGTGGTTTTCCTGGAGGGATGAGATCAGATGGGTTTGAAGGGTATTCTTCAACTGTGGAGTCCTGTAGCTCAGTGGTTAGAGAGACATGGGTTCATTTCCCACTAGGGTGAAACCTTGGGCAAGTTGCCTTACTTGATATGCCTGACAATAATCCCTCAAGAAACAAAACAATAATAATTTTGTCACTCAATCCACGACTGTGTGTAGGACACTGCAGTGTGCAATTGGCTGCTGCGTTTTGCCCACAAAATATACGTCAATTCACTTGTAGTATATTCTGTGAAGCGCTTTGAAACGGATTTCGCCATTATTTCCATGTTTAATCATGACGGTTTCATGAGGCATTAGGTCGAAAAGAAGTTAATGAATGCAATAAGGGTGGGTTTTCCTTAACCTTATGGAGTTCTGTCATCTTATACAAAACTACAAACTGTTCCACACAATCCTCACAAGAACAGAAGCCAGTCTTCCTTCCTGATCAAACATGAGCTCCAAAGCTTGCGATACATGTGCAGTGATTACCCAAAGAACCATTTTAAGAGCCACTGAAATCAATGAGATCCCTATGTAGTTCTCGGTCTCACTAGGATCACGGTTCTCATGGATAGACACTACAATTGGTACACTGACGGAGTGTGTGGCTCAGAGAGAATCATGAAGACCAGGCTGGTACCAGAGTTATGAGGTCTAGCTACGAGGGGAGGTTAGAGAGATTGGCACTCTACCCATTACTGGGTGGTTCTGTCCATATTATCTTTCACTCTCAGCATTTCCTGGATCTAGTATAAGTTACTAGTCAGTGTCTTTCGTTGCTCTTACTAGTTACTAGTCAGTGACTTATCATCATATTTCATTACCAGCTTTGCTTAAGTTATAAATCTTTATGGAGTCACGTGTTCATTGCTGCAGCCAACCCTTGTTGGTTACAGTGACAATAAAGGAGTGTTGAGTTATATATCTGCTGAACACTGATTTCTTGAACTTATAGTAACTTAGAATCATCCCATTGAAAAACCTGCCAGTCAGTCATCCAGTGCCCCAGCCAGTGACCATCAATCCATATATAATACTTGGTGCTTAACCAGAACATTTAACATAGCTGCTTCATACCAGCAAAGTGAAGACAAAGTTACAATAACCTAAGGAAGAAGATTTGAGGTGAGATTGAAAGTTTCAGACTGGCCATGTGGCAGGGAATCTGGGAATAGATCAGATTGTCTGAAGAGCTTTTGTCTGAACCTGTTTCCATGAACTCAGCCTAACTGTTCCCATCCACAACCTGTCACACACCTTTGGGTTCAGTTGCAGACATTGGCTTGTGACTCTGGTTTACTTTGCTGTCTCAGCCACTATCCTGGTCATTGTATCTGACTTTTGCACTGTTATGTCTTCATTGCGTGGTTATTCACACATTAAAGCATTGACATGTTTAAGTCCTGTTTCTCTCTTTCACAGAGAGTGAGGGTTTTTCTCTCTATCACAAGTGAGGAGGGTTTCTCTCTCTCACAGAGAATGATTGAAGGTTTCTCCATCACAGAGAGTGAGTGAACATTTCTCCATCACAGAGAGTGAGTGAGGCATTCTCTCTCTATTACAGTGAGTTTGTGAGGATTTCTCTCTCTCTATCACAGAGAGTGAGTGAGGGTTTTGTCTCTCTCAGAGAATGAGTGAAAGTGGTATTGCTGATATTCCAGTGAATGTGAGGCTTGACTATTGCACTGTTGTGTCTTCATTGTGCAGTTATCCACACATTAGCATGTTTCATTCCTGCAGCATGGGGTAGATTATTGAGTTTTTTGACTTGGATTGCAGGGTTTTAGAAAAATGATTTCTGTTTTGATACAGCGCCTCATCATGTCAAAACATCTCAAAGCACTTCCCAGAGGTTTTCTGTAACGTGTAGTGACTATATGTAGACAAACATGATAGCTACACAGCAATGTCCCACAGACAGCCATGAGCTGAACAACCAGGTTTATCCGGGGGATTGTCGGCCAGACAGCGGGGAGTGAAATCATTCTGGCTGTAAGGGCAACAGACATAGAGAGGAGTGCAAAGCCGTCTGGTTAAAGCTGTTTTAATTATAGTGCATTGACTCTATGTTTTGAGGGCATTTGATAAGGTGCTACACAAGATATTGGTGGAGAAACTCAGAGCGTATAGAGGGAACTGTGGTGCTTTGGGACAGAAATGTAGTTAAAGGACAGGAAGCAGAGAGGGAGGATAAAAGGATGTTTCCCGTTTGGCAGCCGGTAATTAATTGCATGCCACAGGGATCTGTACTAGATCTCCTTTGTTCCCTATATATTAATGACTTTGATTTAGATATAGAGGGGATGGTATCAAAGTTTGCGGGTGATACCAAGCTGGGAGGAATAGAGGATTGTGAGACTGCAGATGGAAACCCTAATATACAACATCCATAGCATTGCCTTTCTCTATATTTGCAGTTATTACTTCAAAAAAGTATTGTAGTAAATTGGTCAAACATGATCTGCATTTCACAAATCCATGCTGATTTTCCATAATGGTATAAAAGGGACAGTGGCAGCATGGATCCAGAACTGGCTGGGAGACAGAAAGCAGAGAGTTGTGGTGAACGGCTGCTTTTCTGAGTTGTTCGAATCTGTAATGCATTGCCTGAAAGGGCAGTCGAGGCCGATTCGATAACAACTTTTAAAAAAGCGATGGACGGGTATTTGAGGAGGACGGGTTTGCAGAATTATGGGGAAAGGGCTGGGGAGTGGGATTGACATTACATTGCTCTTTTCAAAGAGCCGGCACAGACTCGATGGGCCAAATGGCCTCTTTTTGTGCTGTACGATTCTATGATTCTATGATTATCCTTCACCTGTTTACCACTTCTGTCCCCTGGTGGTTCAATCCCCTCCTGAGCTTTCATTGATTATTATGAAAACATTTTGATTTCATTGAGATTTATGGCCCAGAAGTCACCAGCAAACACTGATTAACATTTACCTGCTGGACTTATCTAAACTGGTGGTCAATTATTAACCTTCAGTGCTCAAGTATAGTAGATGTTAGTGAAAGGATTATTGCACACAGTAGCATTGAGGAATATGACTGTAATTCAATTGTAAGGTTGGTGGAACAGGACAAAGGTGGGGAAATAAATAACGGTGATAAATGTGAGGGTGAGCAGGAACTGAGATAATTCCTGGAATCTGATTCCTGGACAAGTCAAAGAAAGTTGATGTAACCTTGTGTGGGTCACTGATGAGGAGACATGTTGAATATTGATCACCATTGATGGATTCCTAACCACATTCCATTCCTTGTATAAGAAACAACATTTTAATGTTCTGAAATTACATCCCACTCAAAGTCTCAAAACTAGAAACAGCCAAACCAGGCTGAGAAGCACTGGGCACTGCCCGTCCTCTATTCCTGCTCAGTGGGTAACATTTTCATAACCAAAATAGCCTTTCTGATTATTGCAGTGAACACTGTCGTGGCTCAATATGAGTGAACACTCCAGGGAGAGAGTTGCATTGCATTATAAACAACAGACCAAAAACACCCGGCTGACCCAAAACAATGTGTAAACACATCACCGTGCTTAAGAGTATTCAAAGCAAACATGGAAATTCCCAAGATGATTATTGGAATGGAATATGCACTCTCTCCCTGGAGAGATGCATTCGGTTTACCTAACTCCAGAAATTAATAGGCACAAATTGGCAAAAGCCAAACCTTGAGGACACCAAAATGTGCTGTGGGATAACTGTTGGAGTCTAACCAGTTAAGACCACATAGCTTGCCATTGGGATCACTGTCTGGCAAAACTTCCCATTGCTTATCCAGCTTGGTCTACATAATCCGCGAGTGCTTTAATGGGAGCTGAGTGGGATGACTCCCTGTCCCCAGTGACTGTTCTGCCTTTCCAAGCCCTGCCGATTTGCCAGCCAAGCTGGGCTGTCATCAGCAGTGACCTGGAGTATTGCAGACCCACCTGCCTCAGGAACTAGATTAGAAACTGTCACAAAGGGTGGGCTTGATTCTAACAATCTGATGCCAAACAAGTCACCTTGGAGCCCGTTCAGCTCAAAGGAGACCTTGGTCATCTCCCGCACTCCAGAGTATAGTCGCTAGTTGGTCGGTGACATTCAACAAGTGAGGGTTTGAGCCCTCATTGGGTGGATGGCAGATACCAGGAACTTCCTGCGACTTTTTTTTCCTATTGTCTCTATTGAGACCCTCAATATTGTGTCAACCTCTATCAACCCCTCACAACCTCCTCAGCTACAGTGAAAATACTTTCTGGAATTAGGTAAGAGAATGTGTCTCTCTAGAGTATACATTGCATTCCAATAATCATCTTGGGAATTTCTTTGTTTGGTTTCGGATCCTTTTAAGTATGGAATTCCCTGCAAACTTCCTGGTAGGAAACACAGCTCAGCATGAAATGTGTGAGAGCATTGCCACCATCTTCTTGTCTACAACTCATATCCCTTCCCATTGATTACTGATAAATTGTTTTAATCATTAAATTCAAACTTAAATATAGGATGTGATTGACAGAATGATCAGATTGACTGTGGTTTTTGTCACTGACGATGGGGAGAGATTGGATTCACATTGGTTTTCTTCATTTCCAAAGGTTGTACAAAAGCATCATTGACGACAGGGAAGAGTTCACACAATGGCAGGGATTCTCAAACCAGGTAATTAATCTATTGGAAATGATGACAATATTAACTTTTTATTTTAATCCTGTGCCCACTGCACCAAGTAAGATAACAACCTCCTGCCATTCCTCTGAATCAGCCCTGAGCCGTCAAACACAACCCCACTGTCTGAAACCCCATCACCTTGAGCCTCTCTCTCCACTTTCACACTCACTTAAAATCCTATCTCTTTGATTGTGACTTTCATCAACACCCTCCAACTCTCCCTTTGGTTCCTCCTCCCCAGTTAGAATAATAACTACTTACATTTATGCACAGTCAGCGTGTTTGTGAATCAGTGAATCATAGAATTTATAGTACAGAAGGAGGCCATACACTGGCTCTCAGAGCAAGCTGATCATTCAATCCCACTGCCCTGCCTTATCCCCAAGTCTCAAGTCTCTCTCTCTCTCTCATAATATCCCTGTCTAATATCCTGTGAAACACCACAATGGACTCTGCTTCTCCCACCTTAGTTAGGTGCACTTTCCACACCGCAATAACTCTTTGGGTGAAACAATTTCATCAAAGTTCTTCTTTTGTTCTTCTTGTGACTGTCTTACAACCAAGGCCCCTGGTCCCTGACTGCCAGCCAGTAGGAATAGCTTCTCCCTATTTACCCTATTTAAACCCTCACCATTGTGCCCACCTCTATCAGCTCTCAACCTTCTCAGGTCCAATGAAAGCAACATCCCCAATCTCTCCTCGTAACCGAAGCCTCTCATCCCCGGGATTGATTCTCGTAAACCTCCTGCACATCCCTTCCAAGGAGAAAACAGCCTTCCTGACGTGAGAGTCCCAAACTGAACAGAGTCTCCAGCTGTGGCCTCACCAATGATTTGTACAAACTCAGCTTTATTGCTTTACTTTTGTAGATTTACACAGACTGTACAACACAGAAACAGGCCACTCAGCCCAACCAGTCTGCACTGGTGTTTATACTGCACACAAGTCTTCACCCGCTCCTTAATCCCTTTCACACCCTCTAATCTCCTCTCCCTCATGTGAAAGTCTGGCTTTCTCTTAAATGACCATAAATGCAATCATATGATTCACCCACCACTTCAGATAGCGAGTTCCGTAATATCACTGCTCTCTGCGTGTGGGTGACAGTGTCTGTTTGTGAATGTGTGGGGTGGGTTGGGGGATGGTGTCTATGCATATGTTTGTAATGGTGTCTGTGTTTATGGTGGGAGGAACGGTGACTGGGTGTTGGGAGCGATGTCTGTGTGTTTGTTGGGCATGTGGGGGACGGAGTCTGTGTGTGTGGGGGGTGTTGTCTATGTTGTGGAAGGTATCTGCGCATGTAGGGGATGTTATCTGTGTGTGTTCGGGACAGTGTCTGTGTTGGGGACAGTGTGCATGGGTGCGAGTGTGTTGGAGACAATCTCTATGTTGGGAGTGGTGTCTGTGTATGTGAAGGGTGGTGTGTGTGTGTGGGTTGGGGACAGTTTCTGTGTGTGTTGAAAGGGGAACGGTGTGTGTATGTGTTGGTGGCAGTGTCTGGCTGTGTGGGTGACAGTGACTGTATTTGGGGGATTGGTTTCTGTGAGTGTGGGGGAATGTGGTGTGTGGGGATGGGACAGGTGGAATGGTACCTGTGTTTGTTCCAGTCATTGTCCCTGTGTTGCTGGTATTTCACAAAATATACAGTCGATTTACATTACGGTATGTTCTGTGAAGCGCTTTGAAAACTTTCAACAAAGTGATAAGGCTCTGTATCAAATGCAAAGATTATTACAATTATTATTATTATTGCTGTGTCTCTGAGTCTCTGTTATGTTGAGTTTTCCCCACTCGCGGCTCCTGCGTGACCCTCTGCATTTGCCAGAAAAGAAGCCAAACCTTGACAGCAGTGGAGCCAGAAACCTATAAGATCATCAAAGGGCATGATAGCGTAGATAGTGGGAGATTGTTTCCCCTGGTTGGAGAAACTAAAACCAGGGGTCACAACCTTAAAATCAGAGGCCAGCCCTTTCGCACTGAGTTGAGGAAGAGCTTCTTCACTCAAAGGGTGGTGAATGTATGGAACTCGCTACCCCAAAGGGCTGTTGATGCTCAGTCCTTGAACATATTCAAGACTGAGATAGATATGTTTCTTATTGCAAAAGGGATTAAGGGATATGGGGATAAGGCAGGGTCAGGTTATTAGCTGAAGTTAGATTAGAAGATCAGCCATGATTGAATGGCGGGGCAGGCTCGAAGGGCCGAATGGCCTATTCCAGCTCCTGCACAGGAGATGTTCCCTCCTGTGTGGTCACTGTATCAGTCAGGATTGTGTCTGTTCACTGTCGGTACCAGATAATAACCAGTGATAATGGCTCCTGTTTCTCCCTTGTTCAACAGACACAGTCAGTGACACTGAAGACAGGTACGTACAGTTGTGAGGCAGCTGCTGAATACACTGCCTGATATTGTGAATGAATCAATCATTCTCACATGCTCTGTCTGATTGGTTCTTTATCTCATTTCTCTCTCTATTCCCCTCCCTGCCCCTCCTTGGCTTTAATAAAGCTTAAATAAAACAGTGCAGAGACTGAATGATAACAAGGCCGGGGCTGACAGACTGATCACACCGCACCATGCTGAGCCGATGAATGAATGATGAATGATGCTGAGATGATCGTAACAGCCTTGATTAGGATGGAAAACAGCCAGTGCAAGCAGCGAGTTGGTCCAGCTCTGCACATTAATAATAATATTAAACCTTGCATTTGATATAGCGTCTTATATCTTTGAGATGTCTCAAAGCGCTTTACAAGATATACTGTAAATATAGTAACTGTATTTTGTGGGTGAAACGCGGCAGCCAATTGCACACAGCAGTCTCCTGAAAACAGTCGTGGATTAAGTTAATCCAATGTCCTGGCCTCAAACGCCTTTCTATTCCAGTCGTTAATTATCCTGTGCAAAGAAAAACTTCCTGGTGTCTGTCCTGAAATTACAACTCGAATCTTGAATTAAACCTTATTTGCCAGTTACCAGCGCATTTTCCCTATCAAAGAATTAAGGCAGAGGAGGGGATGGGGAAATGGCAGGTTAATGGGATAGAGTTGATAACTCTCAGTGAGAAGCACAGACATGATGATCAAGTGTCCTTCCTCTGAGCTGGGTTTCTAATTGAGTTTCTCATATTAACAGGAAAGCACTCAAAGCTGAGGTTGAACAGAGGAAGGAGGATGTAAGAGATTTTGTCACCTTGTTCCCTGGCTGGAGAGTGTGGATGATCAGCTACATCAGAGACCTACAAAAGATCGCAGACGACATTTACTCGATTCACAAGCCTGTCACGAGTGTGGGAGTTGGCCAGAGTGTGGCTGGTGGGGCTGCCAACACTGCAGCTTGTGACATGGACATTGTTACCCAAACACAGAGACAGAAAAGGGTTAATGATATCATGGAGCAATATACAAAGGACAGTAGAAAAATGGCAGAGTGTTACACAAAACTCTTACGAGCAGTTCAGTTCTTGAAGCATTGTGAGAAATCAGAAACTGCATTTCCTGGTGGAGCTGAGAGTCTCACTGAACCCTTGGCTGGATTTGTTGCTGTGGATGAAACAATAACCAAACAGGAAACAGTGACATCCAAAGCCGGGTCAGCAGCTCAGACAAGGCTGCCTTTCATGTCATCTCTGATCCCCAGAGCAAACGATGGTCATAATCTCAACTGTGGAGCCAGGGCAGATATTGCGAAACACATTGAGGATGTGGCTAAAGTGCTGGAGGATGAAGTGACGGCGTATGAAGAGGTTTATAAACATCTGGAAGGTACAGTAACAACAACAAACTACATTTGTACAGTGCCTTTCCCGTCAGGTACTGCATCAATGTACTGCACACAGGACTCAGGTGCAGCAGCTGAGGCAGGTTCCAGTGATATAATATTCAGGGTGGGTGCAGGAAGATATCAAACTGTCTGTGTCTGACCAAAACAAATAATAAACTTGTGATGTGTGTGAGGGGGAGAGAGCAAGGCTGGCACAGTGTGTGTCAAAGAGAAGGGATTGCACCTCCTCACCTCTGGCCCTCACTATCTCCACCTCCCGCCTGCTCACTCCAGCTGTACCATTGCTCATTTGCCAGCCGAGCCTATAATTCTACACCTCCATATATGGTAGAAAATGATTCTGTATAAATAAATACATATACAATTTGTTTGAGCAACTGAGTGGCTGATACACGTGGAAACCCATCGGGTGCTTAAAAGTCTCCAAACCAGACTGAGTGTTCCACATTTGTGGATATTTCTGTATCTGGAATGGAATGCGCTCTCTTTCCCTGGAGGGTGTGACGGTTCTCACCCCCAAATGTAAACCCATGTTATGTTAAGCGCACAATGTCCCAGGTGGCCTCTGTGTAGATTCTTCTTGGTGACGTGCAAGTTCCCTTCACTGTGTGAGAATTAATGACAGGTAATCCCAATTATAATTCAGTAGGTGCCCTTCTCATCTAACATACAGTGGCTTCTGCAGTAACCTGTTTCTAGATCATTGAATTTAACAGACTCGACATGCGCTTTTTAGAAAACACAATGGTGCTTTATTGATCCTAACAACCCTATACCTCATTACACTGACCAATATAAGATAAAAAGTCACAACGTTAAGAAACAGAAAAACTCTGACACAATAATTATGACTCGAGGAGCTTAAAGTTAGTGAATAAAGAAAAAACAATCTTGATCTAGAGACAAGGCTCTCAGGTCAGGCACGTGCCTTCTTGATGACACTAAAAGTGAAGAGTGACTCTGAGTTTAATGAGCTCCTCATTTTATATTTTCCTAACTCCTCCCCCTTTCAATGTATCTCTCGATACCTTTTCCCGTCATTTACAATCTCCTCCCCTGCCGTTGTATCACTTGGTTCCTGCTCCATGACCCACATGATGATTTCCTATGCTTTCTGTTGCAACACTCACCCAGATCACAGACATTGTGTGTGATAATAATCCCTCCAAAACCAAAAGCAATAATAGATTGGTCATTTTCAATCTATGACTGTTTGTTGGACATTGCTGTGCGCAATTGGCTGCCGCGTTCGCCCACAAATATGCAGTCAATTCACTTTACAGTGTGTTCTGTGAAGCGCTTTGGGACGTCCTCCCGACGTGAAAAGCGCTATATCAAATGCAAGGATTATTATTATTATTATTATTATTATTATTACCCCTTTAAGATTATATTCTGTTCCCTGGACCATGATTCCGCTTAAAGCAAAGCGCCTTATTTTAACACAAACTCTCTGTGCACAGGCTATCCATAGGAAATATCATTAGACAAAGTTAAAGCATTAATAAAAATAAGATGACCGTGACAGGGGATGCATCCTGCTACCTAATTCTGGAGAGAGTATTAGTAGCAGGTTTGAGAGGTGCCCTTCACATGGACCCCAGAGTGTGCATTGCGGTAACTGCTGGAGTCTATCCAGATAATCCCACAGAGCTTGCCATTGTTTTTTTCTCACTGGTAAGCTTTCCCATCGTTTGCCAGCTGGCACTATCTCATCCGTTAAGGCATTCAGGGTTAACAGGAGCTGTTTGGGAAGATTTACTGTGGCTAGTCTGCCACTCCAAGTCCTGCCGATGAGCTGGGCTGAGCTGTCATCAGCAGTGCTCTGAAATATTGCGGACCCGGCTGCTCAGGACCTGCATTAGAGACCGTAACAGAGGGTGGGCTCCATACTGACATTCTGTTAGCAAACATATCACCTTGGAGCCAGTTCAGCTCTGAAGAGACCTCGCTTACCACCCCACACACACCACACACCAGAAGGAGGATAGGACATTTGTCATTCAATATCTGTTAATAACCAGTGGTAATGGCTCTTGTTTCTTTCTTGTTTAACAGACACAGTCAGCAACACCGAAATCTGGTACGTACAGGTGTGAGACAACCGCTGATGAAACTGCCTGATATTGTTCTCGTTCTCATTTGACTCTGTCTGAATGGCTCTTTATTTAATTTCTCTCCCCCCCCCCCCCCCACCCAGGTTCAGAGATGGGGGGGTGGGGGATGTTCCTGGCTCCACACACATGTTAGTGTCAGCGGGATAGAGGGACGTGTAAATTGGATAAGAAGTTCCCTGAATGAAAGGAAATAAAGGGCAGTGGTTCCTGGAGCACAATGAGACGTCGCCAGTGACTGGCAGGTGCCCAGGGCTCAGTGTTGGGGTCACTGCTGGTTACTTCATGGTAATGGTCTACAATTGGGGTTTAAACTCGGATCCCGGATTGAGTGGTCACTGATAACAGGACTCGTGGACAGAAACGTGGTTAGGTTGGGGAACTGGGCTGAGAGGCGGCAGATGTTGTTTAATGACAGACACTTATATAAAATTACATAAAATAATATAAACTATACTATAATAATTTGCAATGTTATATTTATAAATTCTAATTCTTTAATTTATAAATGTATTTATTCACATATTTACAGATTGTTTATTTATAAATATTATAAATATTATTTATAAATTATCAACTAATTTATTATGACAATAAATATAACAATAAAATAACATATTAATATTATATTATAGCATATTAATAAAGTCTGGAGACTGAGATTGAATAATAAAACAATCATGTGACCAACTCTTTTTAACTTCCCTCGTTTCCTTTGAACTGCTAGAAATGTCAAACTCAGAATCTGTGAAGAGAGGAACCAAATCTTGTACTTTATGTTTAAGAGTTCCTTTAATTACTAAGGTAGAAATACATATAACTTCACATTGATTCAATAAGCAGGTTACAGCAGGCAGGGTATGGTAGTCAATATTGTGCTGTTGGCAAACATAAAAGAGAGAGAGACAGACAGAGCTGCCCTCAGCCCTCTGGACAACACATGATCTTTCTCTTCAGAAATCTGTAACTACTTTCCTCTGTGGGAAAGGCTGCCCTGACCCCACTGGGCTCCCTGTGTCTGGTGCTGTGTGTATGTGGGCAGTAGCTGAGAGTTGGTTGTGTTTGTGTTCACAGGAAAGCCTTCCTCACTGAGCTGGCAAAGAGGACTGATGATGTGCAGAGCTTTAAATCACAGCTCTCTGTGTGGAGACAACAGGTGGCAGGACACCTGAGAACACTGCGAGAGGCTGCGGACCACATCGACAGCCATCACAGATCAGACACAGTTCTGACCATTGTGGGCTCCATACTGTGTATTGTCGGAATGATACTGTTTGATGTGGGAATAGTCACTGTCATAGAATTAGGGAACGAAATTATGAAAAGGTTGGTGTTCACATTCAGCCTCAGCCTTCTGGGAGTTCTGGTGCTTGAAGTCAGGGGTAATCGTATCTCTGTAGCTCGTGGCAATATCATTGCTACACAAGCAGAGAAAGTGATAAGAGTGAATGAAATAATAGAACAATATAAAACAGAGAGCAGAGCCATGGCGGATTGCTACAATAAACTAAACACTAGAATCCAATTGTTCATGAAATCAGGAAGAGACACATTTACTGGGAAAGCTGAGATGTTCTCCAGTAGCTTAGGTAGTTTTCGCCCCATTATCAACATGGAGGCCACCCGCAGGGTAAACCCAGTGAAGGCTGTTTTACAGCGTCTCATAGCAATCTTTGTTGTGTATGAGGTCTACTTTGCAATAAAGAACATCATTTACTTTCTCAGTGGAGCCAAGTCAAAAATTGCTGAACAGATACGAAAAGTGGCTGATATGATGGAGGTTGAGGGACGATCATGTGGAGAGTTTTATCAACTGCAAAAAAATATTTAGTTTTTCTTTAGACAAAGTACAAACAAGGGAAGAATTGGATTAATTACCTGCCTCCAACCAAAAAACATGCTTTTATCCCCAATCTGTGCTTCATAGCCTTCAACTGTTGTGATTAGAAATGAATTTGTGTTTAAATTATTGTTTCAGTGCAGGTAAATATGCTTATGCTTGTTAGCTAGTGACTGACTGATCTGTGGAACGACAATCAAACTTCATCAAACGAAGTTGCAGAATCTCTCTAAGTGTGACAGATGTTATGGAGTAGCTGGTGTCACTACAGATAAGATGTTAGAATATGTCAGTGATCTGTGCCTTGAAACATGAAGAGTTAAATTGGCTGAGAGAGAAGAAGTGAATGTGTTTCTGTAGTAACAGCACAATATTGACTACCATACCCTGCCTGCTGTAACCTGCTTATTGAATCAATGTGAAGTTATATGTATTTCTGCCTTAGTAATTAAAATAATTCTTAAACATAAAGTACAAGGTTTGGTTCCTCTCTTCATAGATTCTGATTTTGACATTTCTAAACAGAATAAGATGGTCTTTTCTCGACAAACCTTTTGCCTCAGGCTTCAACAGAGTGATTAATTCCACTGCTGTCCACACCTTCAAACCCAACACATCCACATCCCTATTCAAACCGCCACCATCCCCCATCCCACGAGCCCTGAATGTCAACCACAGTCTCTCATGCGGCACCTTATCAAACAGCTTCTACTAATCCACACACACATTCACAGCTTTACCCTTTGGTTGCTATTTTGAAGACCTCTATCAATTTGGTCAAACACGATTTGCCCTTTACAGTCCATGCTGACAGCCCCTTATTCCTATCTAGTTAAGGTTTAGGAAAGATGTAATGGAGATGTTCAAAATTATGAGAGGTTTTGATAGAGTAGATAGGGAGAAATGGTTTCCACTGGCAGGTGGGTTGCTAACCAGGGCATTCAGTTGTAAGATAATTGGCAAAGAACCAGAGGGGAGATAAGGAGAAATTGTTTTACACAGAGTTGTTATGGTTGCGACCGCCAGGAAGATGGAAGGCAAACTAGATGGATCTTGGACTTTTATCGTCTAACAGTTCTTATGTTCTTATGGTCTGGAATGCATTGCCTGAAAGGTGGTGGAAAAACCTTCCTGACACCTTCAAAGACCTGTGTATATGAAGCCCCAGGTCTCTCTGCTCCTGTAAAACTGTACCATTTATTGAATATTGCCTCTCCTCGTTCTTCCTCCCAAAATGCATCACCTCACACTGCTCAGCGTTAAACTTCATCTGCCTTGTGTCTGCCCATTTCACCAGTGTCTCTGATCTCCTGCAGTTTGCTACCATCCTCCTCACTGTTTACCACGTTCCCATGTTTTGTTTCATCTGCAAACATAAAAATTTTGCTCTCTATCCCCAAGTTCAAGTCACTTGCATATATCAAAAATACCGACCCCTGGGGGACACCACTGTATACTTCCCTCCAGTCTGAAAAATAACTATTCACCACTACCTTCTGCTTTCCCAGCCAGTTTCATATCCATGCTGCCACTATTCCTTTTATGCCATGGGCTTCAATTTTGCTAACAAGTCTATCATGTGGTACCTTATTAAATGCCTTCTGAAAATCCATATGCACTACACCAACTGCACTTCTGCTTTATTCTCTAATGTATTTTGAACATGATATTTATCATAACCCTCCTTTTTCAGTTTCATTTTAATCCCAATTTCCTTAGTCATCCAGGGAGCTCTAGCTTTGGACACCCTTCTTTTCTCCTCATGGAAATGTGTTTGCTTTGCACCCTAACTATCTCTTCCTTGAATGCCTCCCATTGCTCATTTACTATTTTACCCATCAATCTTTCTTTACAGTCCCACTTGGCTACATCCCTTTTCAACTCACTGTAATTAGCCTCTTCCAGTTGAGTATCTTCACCTTTGATTGCTCCTTGTCCCTTTCCATAAATACTCTAAATCTAATGATGTTGTGATTACTATTTTCCAGGTGCACTCCTACTGAAACCTGCTCCACTTGCTCCACTTCATTCCCCAGGTCTAGATCCAGTACTGCTTCCTTCCTTGTTCGGCTGCAAACATACTGATCCAGAACGTTCTCCTGCCACATTTTATGAACTCTTCCCCATCCATGCCCTTTATACTGTTTTCTTCCCAGTTTATGTTTGAGTAATTAAAGTCTCCCATTACCACTACTGTATTGCTGGGACGTCCTCCCCATGTGAAAGGCACTATACAAATGTAATTTTGTTCTTGTTTTTATATCTTTCTGAAATCTGTTTGCAGATTTGCTCCTCTATCTCCTTCCCACTATTTGGTGGTCTATAGTAAACACACAGCAGAGTAACAACTCCTCTTCTGCTCCTTAACTCTTACCAAAGATGGGAGTGTGGGATGCTGTTGCTGTGTGTTGCCGGTGCTGGTCCTGGTCTTTCCCACCATTTGAAAATAACATCAGAATCTCTTTGTTACAACACATCTGAAAATGCACATTTTTACTGCACTCCAGAACCCGGGATGGCAAGATCCCTTTTCAACTCACTCTTATTAGCCTCTTCTAGTTGAGTATCTTTACTTTTGACTGTTCCCTTTCCATAAGTACTCTAAACCTAATGATGTTGTGATCACTGTTGTCCAGATGCTTTCCTCCCCACTCCAGTTTGGTGCCCATTCCAGCATTGTCAAGCAATCTAGACGTCCTCCTGAGATGAATGTAAATATAAACAGTATTGTTACACACCTCAATGACTTCTACAAGACACCATCAGCTCTTGAATTTGCTGAGAGAATTGGCTTTCATTCATTCTGTGTGTCATCACTACATTGTGCTGCTGGCTCCAGCGTTGTCTCCACCAGGATCTGAAACCCTCTCCCCTGTCTCATGCTGTAAACTATGAATATTTAACTTCTCCCTGTTATTCCCTTCCAACCAAGGAGGGAGATCTGAGTGATGGGGAGTTGGGTGGGTGGATGGAAGGTCAATGTGGTGCCTGAAAGAGGAAGAACTGTGTGCAGGTAGGAGCAGTGGGGGCAGAGGGAGAAGGTGGAGAGAAGAGGTGGATCATTTCAGTTTTGTCCTCAATGACCTCCTCGTGTTTGGAGCTGGAGATAATAATAATCCTTGATGTTAAGCAACTTATATTGTCGAGACATCTCAAAGTGCTTCACAGGATACGCTGTGAAATGGATTTATTGTGTATTTTGTGGACAAAACACGGCAGATAGTTTGTGCACAGCAGTGTCCCAGAAACAGGCATAGAGCGGGTGTATATAGCACCTTTCACATCAGCCGGAGGTTGCAAAGCACTGGACAATCAGAGATTTGGACCCGAGCAGGGGAGTGTGGGTGGATAAGGGAGGGTGGATGATAGGAGGGTGGCCAAAGGCACAGTGGAAGAGGAGATATGCCTTGAAGGAGGCAATGAAGGGAGAGTGGTGAAGGGAACTTGGGATGGAATTGGAAAGGTGGGAGGAGAGAGGCTGATGGCCCGACCAGTGATGATGGGTCAGGCCGGGTGGAGGTCTTGGATTAGGCTGAAGTGTGCTGAGTGGAGGGAGTGGACAAGTTGATATAGAGTCAGCAAGTCACAGAGGTGGAGGGGCAAGGCCATGGAGGATCTCGAAGGCGAGGACGAGGATATTGAACTCTATCCTCTGGGGGATGTGGAGCCAGTGGAGCCAGGTGGGGGTGGAGGTGATTAGGTCACAGAGCCTGATAGGGAGAGGACACAACCTGCAGAGTTCTGGATGATCTGCAGCTTGTGGAGGGAAGAGTTGGAAAGGTCAAGAAACAGGGAGTTTGTGTGGTCGAGTCTAGATGTCATCAACCCGTGAATGAGTGTTTCGATGGCCTGAGGGGTGAGGCAGTGGAGGAGCCGGGCATTGTTGAGGAGATGGGCGAAGGCAGCGCGGGTCATGGTAGAGATGCAGGAGAAAGGACAGTTGAGGGTAAACAAGCCAAGGTTCCTGACTGGCTCAGTGAGGTGTACTTCACTGTAAAGTGCAGTGACTGGGTGTTTGTGGGGGATTATGGGATCAGAGCTGATAGCTCCTGTGAAGAGGCAGCAGCAGGACAACAACAACATGCAATTATATAGCGCCCTTCACGCGGGGTGGGGTCCCAGAGCGCTTACAGACACAGTGGGCTGAATGGCCTAGTGCACTGTAACTGGCGTGACTGTACATGTGCTGTCCTCAGCACTTTCTGGACTTGCACCATATCCTTTCAATCTTACCAATAACAATCTTTCAATTTATTCACCACCTTTGCACTTGCTTCCTTGTTCAGCTTAACTGTGGTTCCTCCCAACGTGAAGGGTTTGTTATCAATATAAAAGGCTGGACTATGGGAACTCTCTCCTCGCCGGCCTTCCCGACACCTCCCTCCACAAGCTGCAGGTCATTCAGAACTCTGCAGCTCGTGTACTGTCCCGCACCAGGCTTCGGGAACACATCACTCCCACCCTCGCTCGCCTCCACTGGCTCCCCATCCCCCAGAGGATCAAATTCAAGATCCTCATCCTCACCTACAAGGCCATTCACAGCCTCGCTCCCTCCTACCTCTCTGACCTACTATCCCCCTACCTACCTGTCCGTACCCTCCGTTCCTCTGGCTCCGGTCTGCTCCACATCCCCCGCCACAACTGCCCTACCATCGGTGGCCGGACCTTCAGCCTCTCAGCCCCGAGGCTCTGGAACTCTATCCCCCAGTGCCTTCGCCGCTTCCTCCCTTTCCTCCTTCAAGGCCGGTCTCAAGACCTTTCTCTTTGACCGAGCCTTCAGCTCCACTCTCGACTCGCTACCCCCTCCTGGCTCCCGACCTTCCCTCCCCTCACCCTGACCATTTCCCCCCTGCTCAGGTCCTGACCCAACTGTACAGCGCCTTGGGACGTCCTCCCGACGTGAAAGGCGCTCTATAAATGGAATCTTGTTGTTGTTGTTGTTGTTTACAGATAGCATGAATCTTCCACCAAGGCCTTCATCTCAGACGAGCTCTGGAGGAATTTATGGTTTCATGTGTTCATTGTGAAAATCCTCATTGGTTGCAGTAAACTTCAAAGTGCAAGAAGCATGTTTTAAACATTTATAGAGCAGATGCTGGTCATTATACGTTACTCAGTTACTAAACATCTTTAACTGAGCAGCGACAAAGCCAGGCAGTGATACAGACAATAGTCCAACCAGCCAACCAATTTGTCATCCAATCTGGTAGGTAAATGGTTTGCTTTTTAATTGCAGTGTTGGATTAATAATCAGTATGTCTCCAATAAAAGGACTGTTTTCAAAGAAGCTCAGCTGTCACAACACAGAATTTACAGCACATCACAGAGGAGGCCATTCATCCTATTGTGTATGTGCTGGTGCTGGCTTCCCTACAGTCACCTCCAACCCCAACGATATTCCTGCTCTGGATTTATCAAGTCCCTTTATTGTTCTATAGAATTAACTTCCACCACCAGATATCTCAATAATTCTAACATTTGTTACAGCAGCTTATAATGTTGTGTTTAGCTCAAAATGTTATGCAAAGTTTCCTGTAAAGTGTGGTGACTATGGACTTCGTAGGTGAATGTTATAATTTGCAGATAGCAATGTCCCACAAACAACTATTAAGCGAATGATTGGTTTTATCTGGAAGAAAGCCAAGCTACTCCATATAGGAATTAAGAATAGGATTCACATGCATGGTACAGTAATAATAATAATAAGAAGAATCCTTGCATTTGATATCATATCATGTCATTGAGATGTCTCAAAGCGCTTCACAGAATACATTGTAAAGTGTATTGACTGGATTTTGTGGGTGACACGTAGCAGCTAATCTCGCACAGTGATGTCGCACAAACAGTCATGGATTGAGTGCCCATTTTTTTAAAAAAGGGATTATTACACCTGAAAAGCGATCCGTCAATCGACTAACAACTCGGTTCATACTTACAGATAGTAAACAGAAGTGTGTGCAGTAACGTACTTGAATAAGGTTTTACCCACCCAAGGGCATAAGGGACTGTCCAGGACATAGAGACAGTGCAGAGGAGAACATCGAGGCTTATGCCCAGTGTTAGAGGAATGAACTATGGGCAGAGCCAATAGAAAACTACATTAGAATACGTTAGAATATACAGCACAGAAACAGGCCATTCGGCCCAACTGGTCTATGCCATTGTTTATGCTCCACATGAGCCTCCTCCCGCTCTCCCTCAACTAAGCCTTCAAGCATAACCTTCTATTCCTTTCTCCCTCATGTACCTATCCAGCTTTCCCTTAAATACATCTATGCTTTTTGTCTCAACAATTCCTTGTGGTATCAGGTTCCACATTCCCACTACTCTCTGTGTGAAGAAATTTCTTCGAACTTCCCTATTTGATCTATTTGTGACTGCTATATATTGATGGCCCCTGGTTTTGATCTCCCCCACAAGTGGAAACATCTTCCCTATGTCTACCCTATCAAAACCTTTCATAATTTTAAAGACCTCTAAAAGGTCACCCTTTACCCTCCTCTTTTCAAGAGAAGAGTCCAATCACGTTCAGCCTTTCCTGATAGGTATAACCTCTCAGTTCTGGGATCATCCTTGTGAATCTCCTTTGCACCCTCTCCAGTGCCTCTACATCCCTTCCATAATGTGGGGACCAGAACTGCATACAGTATTCTAAGTGTGGTCTAACCCAGGTTCCATAGCAGTTTACCATAACTCCCGTGCTTTTCATTTCTATTCCTCTAGAAATGAACCTCCATGTTGCTTTTTTATGGCCTTGTACCTGCATTGCTACTTTTAGTGAATTGTGTGTGTGCCCCTAGATCGCTTTGCTCCTCTACCCCATTTAGGGTTTTATTTTCCAGGATGTATGTGACTTCCTTATTCCTTCTACCCAAAATGTACCACCTCACACTTTTCTACATTGAAATGCATTTGCCATTTAAATGCCCATTCAGCAAGTTTATTACCGTCTTGCTGTAATGTGTTACAGTCCTCCTCTATATTAACTATTCCCCCATGTGTCGTCTGCAAATTTTGAAATTGTACTGCTGATTCCCGAGTCCAAATCATTAATGTATATTGTGAACAACAGTGGTCCCAATATCAATCCCTGTGAACACCATTGCCCATGCCCTGCCGGTCTGAGTAACTACCCTTCACCCCTACTCTCTGTTTTCTGTTTTGTAGCCAGCTTGCTATCTATTCTGCTATTTTTCCCCGGACTCCACTTGCTCTGCTTATTCATTAGTCTATTATGTGGTACCTTACTGAACGCCTTTCGGAAATCTAAATGGATTACATTACCGCATTACCCTTTCGAAGAATTCAATGAGGTTGGTCAAGCATGGCCTTCCTTTTTGAAATCTGTGCTGACTATTCTTTATTATGTTTTACGTTTCTAGATGTTTTTCTATTACCTCCTTCAGTAAGGATTTCATTATCTTTCCTACCACCGATGTTAAGCTGACAGGTCTATAGTTCCCTGGGCTTGTCCTATCCCCATTTTTAAATATAGGTATAACATTAGCTAACCTCCAGTCCTCTGGGACTACTCCCTTTTCTAATGAGTAATTATATATGTGTAATTATGCCTCTGCTATCTCTTCCCTCGATTCTTTTTAATATATGCGGATGCAATCCATTTGGACCAGGGTTTTATCCTCTCTGGGTTTCGTTAGATTTTCAACTATATCTCCACTTTGTATCTTAAATGTATTTATATTATTTTTGATCTCTTCTTCTGTCATGTCCACCTGATCCATCTCTCTGGTGAATACTGAGGCAAAGTAATTATTTAATATTTCTGCCATTTCGCTATCGCGGACTGTGAGCTTATCTTGTCCATCCCTTAATAGCCCTATTCCTATTGTAATGTTTCTTTTGTTATTTATGTGTCTGTAGAATATTTCACTATTTCTTTTTATATTTCTGGATAACTTAACTTCATAATTTCTCTTTGTCTTCCTAATTTTTTTTGACTATTTTCCTGACCTCTTCGTCCTTTTTTGTCATGCTCTCCCTTGTTGTTTATGTACTTAGTGAGTACTTGTTTTCTGAGTCTCAAATTTGCCCTTATGTCTTTATTCATCCCTGGTGTCTTATTATTTATTTAGCTTTGTCTTGTTTTTTAGCGGAATATATTTCTCCTGGACTCTATTGATCACTGTTTTAAATGTTTCCTACTGCTGCTTTATCTCTTTGTTTGCTGATATTGTTTTCCAGTTTATTTTCCCAAGTTCCATTCTCATCCCCTAAAAATCAGCATTTTTCCAATCTATGAGCCTGGTCTTTGTCATACTGATGTTCTTCTCAATCATTATTTTAAACCTTATTAAGTTATGATCGCTATTGCCGAGATGTTCCCCTACTCGTACTTTTCCTATCTGCTCTGGTCCATTTCCCATTACTAAATCCAGCAGGGATTTCATCCTTGTTGGGCCGCTTATATACTGCGTAAGTAGTGATTTACAGGATTGTAGTGTGTACAGGATTGTAAAGTGTATGACTGTATTTTATGTGAGAAAATATTAAAATGAGATTGACTCCTAAAATGAAGATTATTCCCACAAAGTAACTGAACCCAATTAAATTAATTGAAAAGCAAACTGACCTCAATGCTTAAACATTACTTCAGGCAACATGACCCTCGTTCTATGCTCTTGAGTTTCTGCTGTATGTGATGTCCTCAGTGCAGCAGATTGAGAGTCAGTAAGATGGAGGGAGGGATGAGGAGGACGACTCAGGCTGATGTAAAGATGCTGATGTTGAGCCACATATTTTTATATTTTATAAAGATTTGAAATATTTTGCATCAACGTCATTTTTAAATGTTACAATTCCACCCAAATCGTGTAATTTGCGAGATCCTACAGAGATTTCAAGGTCACGTTGAAGGTTATGTCTTCATATCTTGCTTCACCTTCGATTGTGTGTCCCAGACCTTGTTAATCTCCATAGGTTTCACCCCATATTATTCATCTGACTTGTGCTTGAAAGTGTAGAAACTTTTTAACGCTAGGACCCTGGGTCTGTAGATGGGTGGGACAGAGGAAACATCTCCCTTTACAGAGGCAATGTGCTACCATATATGCTTATGACATCCTAGTAAAATTACAACCCAGGCTTGTACAGAAGGACATGGCTCCTCTGTCTCTCCCCCTGGGCCATCTGATTGATTTACTTTCCTGTTGCAGTGTAATTTTACTAGGATGTCATAAGCTTCTAAGGATGTTCCCAGTGGATATGATTATCAGGAAAGACCAGGTAGTTTGGAACTTTTCTCTCCAGAGTTGAGATGATTATGAGTGAAGCTAATGGAGGTGTTTAGGTTATGAAAGCATTTGATGAATTAGATGTTGATGGGTTGTTTTACAGTTTGGTGAGACCAAAACTACAGGATATAAATCTAAAATAGTCATCAGGAGATGTTAAACAGAGTTTAGGGGGTTTCTTCACACAAAGGATGGTGAGAATGTCAAACTCACTGCGGAAGCTATGGTTGAAGTAGAAAGCTTCAATCTATTCAAGAGAAAAATTGATTCATACATAGTAGAGAAGGGGATAGGGATACAGGAGAGGGGAAAGGGACAGGCGGCCTCATGTACTTTACTCATTTGCTCAAACGTTCGCTCACTCACTCATTGCCTTACTCCCTCCATTCCTCATTCGTTCCCTTACTCACTTGCCCACTGCCTCACACATTCACTCCCTCCCTCCCACCCTCCCACGCTCCCTCCCTCCCACCCTCACTCACTGCCTCATTCACTCACTCCCTTTCTCACTCACTGCCTCACTCACTCGCTCACTTACTCGCGAGCTTAAGATGAAGAAGACCCTTTGACACACATAATCTCATCCTCAGGACTAGTTGGGCTATGTGACCTGTTTCCATGCTGCATCATTCACTGTAATACCTTATAGAGACTTATGAATAATTTCATAAATCTTTACTTCATCCTCTATCTGTTGGGCCAATTTTCGTATCTGATTAGAAAGTTCTGTCCCTGATCCCTCTGCAAGTTTCATGAAATCCTTTACTATAGAATAGATATCCCATGCAATAATGAGTCCTGACAAAGCTGTAGCAGCCCCCAATTTGCATAACCCTGATTTGCTCATGTTTTTGAACACTGCTTTACCTGTTACTTTACCTACTGATTTACTTGCTGCTTTACCCGCTGCTTTACCCGCTGCTTTACCTACTGATTTACCTGTTACTTTACCTGCTGCTTTTCCTGCTGCTTCTTCTACTGCTTTGTTCACTGCTTGTTTTGCTGCTTTTCTTGACATTCTCGCTGTTATTGTTGCTACCATCCTTGGTGCTTTATCTACTGCTTCCCTCACTACATCTCCTACCATTTTGTTTGCTGAATCTCTTTTTGAATTGCACATTTTAGAAAGAATGTCCTTTCTTATTGTTGAGGTTTCAGCTCTACATTGTGAAACATCAATGCAGAGATGTAAGAATTGAATTGCGTTGATACACTGATTGTGGCAATTTGCCATTTTTGTACTGTCCTTTATATTGTTCCATGATTTCATCAATAGCTGTTGATAATTTCCCTTGTTTAAAAGCATCCACACCACTAGCTGCAACGTTAGTGACACCACCAACTACACCTATGCCAGCTCCCACACCCATGAGCCCCAATGATAAACCCATTGTAAAAGGAGCAGAGATTAATCCACCAATGGATAGAATTCCTCCGACAAGGCCGATTGAGGTCCCTGTAATGTTGGCTACTGTGGCATTTTGGTGAACTGTGTCAATATCGTGCGCAATATTGCACAGTCCTCTTTCGTGTTCTCTCATCCTTTTTTGCCATTCAGGAAACAGATCTTTAAAGCGTTGCACTTCTTCAATTCTCTTTTGCATCTCAGCTTCGAGGGCTTCCCTGTTAATATTATAAATACAATGATATCTGTTCTCACATAAGCACACATTGTCAGAGAAATAACAGTTTAGAACAATACATATTTTTGAGCTGAAACTTTAAAGCTTAATAAAAAAGGCCCAATATATTTGCTAAAGTGAGCAAAGCAGTGAGAGATCCAGCAATGAGAGCAGCAGAAGCCAAGAAATGATTTACAGATTTCCAAAAATAAATATTTCTTCTCAGGAGACACAGGCATTACTACTCGAGCTCCCTTCAACTTTTGCCTTTGACACTTTAGTGCACTTTCTATCTATCTTCCTTAGGCTAGTGTAAGCAACCCAAGAATTCTGGGTCGTCTTTGGTTGACCAAAGAAGATTGCAAAGGTTCATGGGTTTGTTTTCTTTGTAAAAGCTGACTATTTACACACATGTACGAAGGCCAAGGACAACGGAAAACAAGTGACAGGATGTTTATGGAACAAAGTTTTCTTCTTCAACATCATTGTGGGAAGGCAAAGAATTGTTTGAATTTTTATAAAGTCGAAAAGATGTTGACAACTGTGGATATCAGTGAAGGGATGAAACTGTCCGACTCCAAAGATGTTTTCAGTAAAGCTAAATTCCAGATATCTTGACAAGGTTGATATGTACGTCTTTACGAGGTATAAATGTAAGGATAATTCTCAATGAAGGGAGGAGAGCTGAGCTTAAAGAGAAGAGCTGAGTTTTGGATCAACCCAACCAGTTAATAAGTTGATTCCTCTATCAAAGCCGTTATATTGATCCAACCAACCATTGCAATGAACTTTACTAACCTGTCATAAGCATTAATTTGATTACTAACCCGTTGTAATATATCATCCAGAACTCTGCAGCTAATGTCCTCTCCCGTACCAGGCTCTGTGACTCCATCCCCATCCTTTACATTATATTAAATTCACTTTACAGTATATTCTGTGAAGTGCTTTGAGACGTCTAGAAGATGTCAAAAGTGCTATATCAAACGTAAGGATTATTCTTCTTCTTCTTATTATTATTATCCTCATCTGGCTCCCCATCCCTCAGAGGATCGAGTTCAAAATCCTCGTCCTTGCTTTCAAGACCCTCCATGGCCTCCTCCTACGTCTCCGACCTACTAACCCCTTATCAACCTAATCCTAAGACTTAGGGATAGGGTCACTCTGCAGGCTCCACATCTCCCACCCGGCCCGCCCCACCCTCTGGAACTCCATCCCCAATTACTTACTCTCTCCCTGCCTCTTTAATACAGTTGGAGAATTAGAAAAAGTATTCTAAAAAACGTGGCAAATTCAAAGAGAGCATATGTGGAGAAAAGGTTACCTGAACATGAGGAGCTTTAAGGAGCCACTAATGAGTGACACGCCAATTGAGACATGTGGATGAAGTTTTGCAGAATGAAGAGATAAAAGAATAAAAAAGAATAAAAAATAAAAAAGGTAAAAGAATAACCAAACTGAAGCTGCATGGATTAAAACCTTGCAGATGTCTAAATACAGATCTCTGAAATCAGAGAATTAAGAGATTTAAAAGGGTTCAAAGAAACCCTGGAAACAGAGATAAGAGAGTTGAAAGAAACTGATGTAAAAGAGTTGAAAGAAACTCAAAAGGAGCTCAAAAGAAACTGGATAAACAGGAAAAAAGACCCCAAGAGGCTGAATACCAATTGATTGATTTTAAGGATAATCTGCAAATAGAACAGTTCAAATGGAAGGGAAGAAATTGAATCTTTTAGATGTGGAGAGTATACAGTTTAGAAGTTTACACCAAATATTATCAGGTACAGGCAACTGATATTTTGAGGCAAGTGCAGGAATGGGGTGACAAGATAAATGAATGTAAGAGAAATGTTCAGCAAAATATTAAACAACTTGAACAGAATAGTGATTTACACACTGTAATTAGAGTGCAAGCAGCTCTGTCGCAAAAAGCCAGAAAAGGGGATCACATGTTGCATACCAAAAATAAATAGAAAAAAATACAAGAACAGCACACAGTTAAGAGGGGTATAATCTATACCATGACTGGACACAGTGGCTGCTGAATCAATTGATTGGAGAAGTCTAGACGATGAAGCCTATCAGTATCATGATGGAAGCGACAATGTTGAGATGGGAATTTACTGTCAAATACTGAAAAGTGAAAGCCTTGTCATTGTATCCAACCCCTCAATACAAATTGAAACCTAACCCAGATGGCGAGGATGAAGAGGTAGCTCGAGTAAAAATACCATATGACACAATGCAACTACAATGCAACTACAAGTAATGGCAAATATCATTCTCAAATTTGTTGGAAAACTGGATGCCTTTAATCATTTAATGAGGCAGAGCGCGGAGCTATACAAAATACACGTGATGTGATGATAAAGGACATTTCAGGTTACTAGTAGCGATATTGTCCACAACAATGTTTAAAACCTTATCAGTGGACATGAAATATGGGAAAGGCATTCTGCCAACTTCCAAGGAAACACCTTAAATGCCATAAGATATGATAAAGGAGATCCCAATACAGTATTGGAGCATTGCAGACAAATACCAGGAGAACATCCAAAATGTTATAAAGACAGACAATGGGAAGTATTTGAATATCGAATATTTGGTCCATAATAATCTGGATCACTTTGCAGAATAGCACAGAATGATCATTACCCATTCCTTACCACCGTACAAGTCTAGATTTGAAGAAAGCTGGGATAGGAACAATCAGTACTATGATGAGGCGTAGATCACAACAACAACAACAACAACAAGATTCTATTTATAAAGCGCCTTTCACGTCAGGAGGACGTCCCAAGGCGCTGCACAGTTGGGTCATGACCCGAGCAGGGGGGAAATGGTCAGGGTGAGGGGAGGGAAGGGAGGGAGCGAGGAGGGGGGAAATGGTCAGGGTGAGGGGAGGGAAGGGAGGGAGCGAGGAGGGGAAGAGAGTCGAGAGGGGAGCTGAAGGCTCGGTCAAAGAGAAAGGTTTTGAGACCGGCCTTGAAGGAGGAGAGGGAGGAAGCGGCGAAGGCACTGGGGGATAGAGTTCCAGAGCCTGGGGGCTGAGAGGCTGAAGGCCCGACCACCAATGGTAGGGCGATTGGGGCGGGGGACGTGGAGCAGACCGGAGCCAGAGGAACGGAGGGTACGGGCAGGTAGGTAGGGGGATAGTAGGTCAGAGAGGTAGGAGGGAGCGAGGCCGTGAATGGCCTTATAGGTGAGGATGAGGATCTTGAAATCAATCCTCTGGGGGATGGGGAGCCAGTGGAGGCGAGCGAGGGTGGGAATGATGTGGTCCCGAAGCCTGGTGCGGGACAGTACACGAGCTGCAGAGTTCTGAATGACCTGCAGCTTGTGGAGGGAGGTGGCGGGAAGGCCGGCGAGGAGAGAGTTCCCATAGTCCAGCCTTGAGGTGACAAAGGCGTGGACCAGGGTTTCAGCAGCGTGAGGGGTGAGGTAGTGCCGTAGTCTGGCGATGTTCCGGAGGTGATGGAAGGCGGTGCCAGTTGTGGTGCGGATGTGAGGGAGAAAGGACAGCTCAGGGTCGAACAAAACGCTGAGGTTCCTGATTGGCTTTGAGAGGTGGAGAGTGCAGCCTTGGATGCTGATGCTGTCAGCGCCTGAGGTGCGGAGGCGCTGACGTGAGCCAATCAGGAGGGCCTCGGTTTTTCGCACGTTGAGCTGAAGAAAGTTGTCGCTCGTCCAGGACTCGATGTCGGACAGGCAGCTGTCAGGACATCGGGGGTCGTGGAGTTGAGAGCAGAGGAGGAAAGGTAGAGTTGGGTGTCATCCGCATACATGTGGAAGTTAACTCCATGTCTGCGGATGATGTCACCAAGGGGAAGCATGTAGAGGGTGAAGAGGAGGGGACCGAGGACAGAGCCCTGAGTGACACCACATGAGACAGTACGGGGGGTGGAGGAGAAGCCATTCGTCGAGACAAAGTGAAGACGGTGGGAAAGGTAAGAGCTAAACCATTCAAGGACAGTGCCTTGAAGGTTGAGGTGGGAGGACAAGCGGTGGAGTAGGATAGCGTGGTCGACCGTGTCGAATGCTGCCGACAGGTCGAGGAGGACGAGGAGGACGAGGAGGCAGAGGGAGCCCTGGTCACAGATGGTCAGGATATCATTGGTGACCTTGAACAGGGCAGTTTCTGTGCTATGGGCAGCACGGAAACCTGACTGAAGGGGTTTGAAAAGTGAATGGGTGGAAAGGAAAGAGCGCAGTTGGGAGGCAACAACTCTTTCCAGGACCTTGGAGAGAAAGGGGAGGTTGGAGATGGGCCGGTAGCTTGATAGCTGCGACGCATCAAGGGAGGGTTTTTTCAGGGTGGGCGTGATGGTGGCAGTTTTTAAGGGAATGGTAATGAAGTGGGAGCAAGACAGGGTGAGAAAGAAAATTTAAGGAGCCATAAAGGAAACATATTGGTGGAAAATAAACTCAGAATGATGTGGAAAAATGCGGGACTCTCACAGGTTGGAAATGGAAAGCCAAATTTTCATGGCAAGAAGGAAAAAAGGGAGAAACCGTAAGTGTAAAGAAACAAGTAGTTTGATTCCGATGTGGAAAATCGAGACATATCAGTCCTCAGTATAAATCAAAGATAGAATGCCATGCTCCGGCATTGTCAATGAACCTTCAAGACCAAGGTCAACAAAGCCAACTTCCTCAACCCCACTGCTTGTCCCCTCTCCTCTTTTCAAACATGACTAAAGACCTTCCTCTTCGACCGTGCTTAGGGTCACCTCCTCTCTCCCCCCCGAACATACGTCAGGCTCTGCCATTGTTAAGCGTTCCGACACACTATTCCATGTGAAGGACGCTATATAAATCCAAGTTGTTGATGTTAGCATTAAATTCATGCAATTTAATTTACTCTTCTACCGTAAAACCACTTCAATGATAATAATAAAATATATTAATCCTTGCATTTGATATAGTGCCTTTTCACATCTTCTAGAAGTCTTAAAGCGCTTCACAGAATATACTGTAAAGTGAATTGACTGTATATTTTGTGGGCAAAACACGGCAGCATGATAACAGGAGCACTTCCTTATATGTATTACTAATAATAATCCTTGCATTTGATATAGTGCTTATCAATCAGTAAGACATCTCAAAATGCTTCACAGATTATATTAAAAAGTGGATTAACTGTATATTTTGTGGGAGAAATGTGGCAGTAAGTTGCACATAGCAGTATCCCACAAACAGTTGTGGATTGAGTGACCAATTTTTTTTAAATTGAGAGATTATTACCCCCAGAAAGCAATCCACCAATTGTCTAACAACCAGGTCCCTATTTACTGATAACTAAACAAAGGTGTGTGGAGTAAGGAAACTTGCCTAAATATTTGCCCTGCCCAGGAATCGAACCTGGGTCCTATGTTCTACTCCCTGCAGGGTCCCACAACAATATCTGACCATGATGCCTACAACCCAACCCAGACTTTGGTGAAATATAGAAAAAACACGATCAAACAGAGAGCAATGCAGAGAGATGAGAAGAAGAGATTCATTCACAAAATCAGGCAGTTTATTCAGGAACTGCCTCATATTTGTACGTACCTGTCTTCATTGCATCTTTTACTGTCTGTTAAACAATTGAGAAACAAACCATTATTGCTGGTTATTATAGAGTGAACATGACAGAATACTCATTGACCGCCATAATATTGGGGTGTTATATTATTGCATTCATTATCACTCTGTCAAATATTCTACTCTTGGCAATGTCCTTCAACAATAACTGACCGTGAGTGAACAAACTTCACCCCTCGGGTACAAAAAGTTATCAAAAAGACTAATGGGATGTTATCCTTTATCACAAGGGGGGCTGGAATATAAAGGAGAGGAAATGATGCTTCAACTATCTAATAATAATAATAATAATCCTTGCATTTGGTATAGTGCTTTTCAGGTCTTCTCAATGTCTCAAACACTTCACAGAATAGACTGTAAAGTGAATTGACGGTATATTTGTGGAGTCATGTAGCTCAGTGGTTAGAGCACTGTCAGTTATCTAGTCTTATTCAGACCCCATCTGGAGTTCAGCGTTCCGTTTTGGGTACCACTCCTCAGGAAAAATATTTTGGTTCTGGAGGGGGTGCAGCGCAGGTTCACCAGAATTATATTAGGGCTTAAAGGGCTAAATTATAAGGACATGTTGGTCTGCATTCCCTTGAGCTTAGAAGGTTGAGTGGTGATCCAATTGAGGTGTTTAAAATGAGTACGGAATTTGATAGGATTGCTACAGAGAAACTATTTCCTCTGGTGGGGGAAACTGGAACAAGGGGACATAATCCTAAAATTAGAGCTGGGCCATTTAGAAACGAAATCAGGAAGCACTTTTTCACACAAAGGGTTGTAGGCCAGAGTCCACTGATTGGAGGGAGCGGACAGGTTGGTATTGGCTGAATAAGTCACAGAGGTAGGAAAGCGGAAGGTCGTGGAGGCCTTTGACAACAAGAACGAGAATTTAGAACTCTATCCTCTCCAGCAGTGTAATCTAATTATACAGAGCTCTGAATAATATACAGCTTGTAGAGGGAAGAGCTGGGGAGCTGACAAGCAACAAGAAGCATTATAATCGAACTTGGATGTGATGAATGTATAGACAAGGGTCTTAGCAGCCTGAGGGGAGAGACACCAGGGCAATGTTACGGAAAGGCAGAATGGGTCATGGCACGGATGTGAGGAATAAAGAATAGTTGAGGGTCAAACAAGATGCCAAGGTCCTGGACTGACTCAGTGAGGTGGTGTGGCATCCTTGGAAAGTGATGCTGTCAGTGCCTGAGGTGAAAAGGCACTGATAGGAGCCAATCAGGAGGGCCTTGGTCTTGTTGACAGTCAATTGGAGAAAATTTAGCTCTCATCCAGAACTCGATGTCTGACAGACCATCCATCAGGACAGCAGTGGTCCTGGAGTCGAGGGTGGAGGCAGAGATATGTGGAAGTTGACCCCATGTCTGCGGATAACGACACCAAGAGGGAGCGTGTAGATATTGAAGGGGAGAGGACCAAAGGCAGAGCCCAGAGGGACATGGATGTGGGGGCTGGAGGAGAAGCCGTTCATGGACACAAAGTAGAAATTGTGGGAAAGATAAGATTTGAATCAGGCAAGGACAGGATCATGAAAATTTACCAAAGGAGAGGCGGGGGAGGAGGATAGAATGGTCAACAATAATAATAATCGTTGAATTTGATATAGCACCTTATCACGTCTTCGAGACATCTCAAAGTGCTTCACAGAGCACTTTGCATGTCAAAGGCAGCAGAGAAGTCAAGGAGAAAGAGAAGACAGAGGGAGTCTTGGTCATAGGTAGCCAAAGGAAGCAGGTGGTGTGTTTCATTTTGGTCATAATGTGGGAGAGGAGGGGGAGACAGGTTCGAAGGTGTGGAGGGAAGGATGGGTAGGGCCCCAGGGTGTGAGGGGGATATGGAGGGAGTAGTAATTGTAAGGGCAGAAGCAGCTGAGCGGATCCCCTTAAATTTGGTTTTGAGGAAGTCCAGCATCTCCTTGCAGTTGGCATTGGAGGATAGGATGGGTGAATCATGAAAGGGTGGTGAAGAAGAGGAGCCTGAGACTGTTGGCCTCAAAGATTATCTTGGAATATGAGAACGATTTAGCTGAGGCAAGGGCAGAATGGTAGGCTTTGATGTGGTCCAGCCAGATCTGCCAATGGACCATTGCATTGTGTTTGGTCCAAGTCACCTTGTCAGCACGCACCTGTGCCTTGAGGGAGTGGAGGTGGCTGGTGTACCGGGGGACTTGCGTGAGTAGGAGATAGTTCAGGAAATGAGGGGGACAAGGGCATCAAGAGAGGTGGAGAGGGAGTTGTGGAGGTGTTCCAATATTCCTAACTGTTCAAGTATGGAAAGAAACAATCAGAATTCCTCAGTTTGTGGTACAGAAATACTGTCCACAACACAACATTCACAGATGCTCTATCAAACAGTAAGGCTGAGCGACAAGTTGTCCAACATAGAGCATACTAACAAAAATCCTTGCATTTGATTTAACACCTTTCACATTTGGAGAATGTCTCAAAGTGCTTTAAAGGATATAAGGTAAATCAGAGTTGCTGTGTATTTTGTGGGTGAATGCAGCAGTCAATTTGTGCACAGCAATGCCACGAACAGCCGTGAAGTGAATGACTCATTTTATTTGGGGGATTGTTAGTGAGGACACCAGGAGAAACTCACTTTTCTTTTCAAATAGTTCCGTGGAATTTTACTATCCATGAACACTGGGCTAAGACAGGCACCACAGGTCAGTGACTGAATGAGGAATGGACCCCAATATGGGGGAAAAAAACATGTGTGATTGGATAAAAGGGCTGAGAATTCTTACAGTGTCAGCTTTGCCAGTCCATATCTTCAAGACACCGGATGAAGAAATGAGATCTGACACCTTCAATAGAGGAGGAAGCCATGACTCAGGTCTTCACTGAGCTGCTGACCCTGTTCATTGGGTGTTCAAAGCTGATGGAAAGGGATAGGGATCCTACTCCGGGCAGTGTATGAATGGGATTACGATAGGTGTTCGTGGCTTCTGCACAATCCAGTCATTGCTGCAGTTTGTCTGTATTTGAACATCCCTCAGCAGTTTTCATAAACTGGAAATCATCGTGAAACCTTACCTGACATGAGAAACCATGCTGCCAGAAGGACTAAGAGGAAGAGAACGATGAGATTAGACCAGGATCCTGTAACCTCAACGATCATGTTTCTGAAGAGGTAAAGGAAATCAATATTACAGGAGTGCATCTCTATTCATTCAGTCCCTCAAGCCCATTCTGCCATTCTATAAGATCATGGCTGATCTGTTCCTCCAGTCCAATTATCCACCCTTGCCCCATAAACCTTAAAACCCGATCTACCAAATTCTAGCTATATATGAAAATTCTTGTAAATTGGAATGGAAAGTGCACACTCCCTGGAGGGAGCCACCCTGCTTACAGGAGATTTCCAGTAATTCTGAAGGTTTTCACATACCTTTCCCCCCTTTCAATCCACACTTCCACACTGCCCATACCACAGAAACAGCCCTGGTCAAAGTCACTAGTGACATTCTGAACATCTGTGATCAGGGCTCCCTCTGCCTCCTTGTCCTCCTCGACCTCTCTGCTGCCTTCGACACTGTTGACCACTCTATCCTCATACACCGCCTCTCCTCTTTACTTAATCTTCGCGAACCTGCCCTTGCCTGGTTTGATTCCAATCTCTCTCACCGTCTCCACTTTTTTGCCTCTAACGGTTTCTCCTCCAGCCCCCGCACCGTCACATCTGGCGTCCCCCAGGGCTCTGTCCTTGGCCCTCTCCTCTTTAACATCTACATGCTCCCCCTTGGTGACATCATCCGCAGACATGGGGTCAACTTCCATATGTATGCAGATGACACCCAACTCTATCTTTCTCCACCCTCAACTCCAGGACCACCGCTGTCCTGACAGACTGTCTGTCGGACATGAAGTCGTGGATGAGGGGAAATTTCCAACAGTTCAATGCAGGTTGGGGGGCAGTGGGGGAGGTAACCTTATGCATGGTTGAAAAGGAACGTTTTCAGGCAAGACTTGAAAAAGGGGAGAGAGGAGGCAAGGCGGAGGGATTGAGGGAGTGTAGTCCAGAGTTTTGGGATGTAGTGGCTGAATAGAGATCCAGATAGTTAAGGCGGAGTGCGGCCACACCGGGATTTGTACATTGGGCGACAGAGAGACAATGGAGCCTGATGACATTGATGGATGCAACTTCAATTTTCTATTGTCCATTCCAGTTTTTCTGTTATATGAACAGGTTTTCTATTGTCTGGTTGGACGAGTCAGGTTGATGTTGATGATTATTCACTACAGGAAGTCAACACACCCTGAAGGGCTGAAGAGCAGCCATTTTTAGACACAGTCAGACAAAGTCAAATGAAGTGTAAAATGGTTTCTGAGGGGGTTTGATAATCTGTAACCAAACCCTATATCCATAATAGTAACAGAACACAGGCCTCAACCACACATCACACGTATCACTGTGCACTGATCAGCAATAATCTGTTACTGTTTAACCTCACAATCTGTTTCAGAATGTTAAATCCTCCAAACAAAAGGCAAAGTACTGTCGATGCTGGAAATCTGGTATAAACACAGAAGTGGCTGAAAACACACAGCTGGTCAGGCAGCATCCATGGGGAGAGGAAATTCCTCTATCCTCTGTTAAGTCCTCTATCGCATCTTTTCTCTGTCTCACCAAAAACAACCCCAATTTGTTGAGCCTCTCCTGAAACCACGGCTGCTCATAGAATTACATAGAGCATTACAGCACAGACACTGCCCATTCAGTCCATAGCCTGGTGTTTATACTCCATATAAACCTCCACTCTGATATTCATTCCCCTTGAGAATCAATGCCGTCCATAGCCTCTCTGTGGCTGTGATAATACATACACTATTCTAACTAATGAAGTAAGCACTTTCTGCTTTACAGTCAATAACTACAAAGCACAACTTAATTTGTCTTTTTATTCTCTTTTAAACCTTTAACCTACATATCCTTACGATCTCTCTGTTCCTCAACATCAGTAAAAGTTACTCCTGGTTACAGCACTAGGTGCTGAGACAATACAAATTGTTAACATTGATAGTTCAGCAACAAACAACCCATTTACCTGGTAGCCTGGGTGACCTGTGTGACTGACCGGCTGAACATGACATGCATAAAGGTGTGCGCAAATTTACAACACAACTTTCTTTCACTTTCACTTTGAGTATTTCTGTAACTAATTCACATATGAAATTATCTAATTTTATTCTAACATTGCGGCCTAGTTGTTCATTAAGGAACAGACTAATTCAGGACCTAGAATCACACAATTATACAGCACAGAAAGAGGTCTTTCGGCCCATCGTGTCTGTGTCGGCTCTTTAAAAAGAACTATGCAAATCAATCCCACTCCCCGCGCTCTCCCTATAGCCTTGCAAACTGTCCTCCCAAAATAATTGTCTATTTCTCTCTTAAAAGTTGTTATCGAAAACAGCTTTCACCACCCTTTCAGGCAAAATATTCCAGATCCGAACAACTTGCTGCGTGAAAAACTTTCTCCTCACCTCCACTCCCCTCTGTTTCTTTTAAAACTATTTTAAATCGGTGTCCTGGGGTTATCGACCCACCCGCCAGTGGAAATAGTTTCTCCTTGTTCACCCTATCGAATCCCCTCATAATTTTGAAAACTTCTATTAAGTCTCCTCTTAACCTTCTCTGCTCCAAGGAGAATAATCCCGGCTTCTCTATCCTCTCCTGATAACTGAAGTCCCACTTCCTGGTACCATCCTGGTCAATCTCCAATGCCTTGACATCCTTCCTGAAGTGTGGTGCCCAGAACTGAAAACCGTACTCTAGCTGAGACTTAACTAGTGTTTTATAAAGGTTCATCATAAATTCCTGACTTTTGTATTCTATGCCCCTATTCATGAAGCCTAGTATCCCATACGCTACTTTAACAGCTTCATCAACCTGTCCTGTTACCTTTAAAGCTTTACTTAGATGGCAACCCACATAAGTCTCTCTGTTCCTTCAATTCCTTTCAGATTGTACCATCAGTTTATATCGCCTCTCCTCATTCTTTGACCCAAAATGCATCACTTTGTATTTCCCCACATTAAACTTCATCTGCCACATGTCTGCCCATGTTACCAGTCTATCAATGTCCATTTGCAGTTTGCTACTATCGTCCTCACTGTTTACTACTTTTCCTAGCTTAGTATCATCAGGTTTGTTAGACATGATTTGTCTTTAACAAATCCGAGTTGGCTGTCCTTTATTAACCCATATTTTTCTAAGTGAGAATTTATTTTGTCCAGGATTACAGTCTCTAGAAGTTTCCCCACTACCGTAGTTAGGCTGACTGGCCTGCAGTTCCCAGGTTTATCCTTCTGGCACTTTGTGTACAGGGGAGTAACATTTGCAATGCTCCAGTACACTGGCACCACCCCGATGTCCGAGGAGGATTAAAAAAATGTGGCCAGAGCCTTCATTATTTCCACCCTTACACCCTCAGTAATCTAGGGTGCATCCAGTCCAGACCGGTTTACTTATCTACCTTGAGCACCGACAATCTCTTTGCCCCTCTTATTTCCTTTTTCAGTTCTCTTCCATACTTTCTATATTCTATTTGATGATCTTCTGTATTTTGGACCTTTTTCTGTTTATTCCCAATTTTTAATCCCAATTTCCTTATTTATCCAGGGAGGTTTGGATGCTCTATCTTTCCCCTTTGTGGAAATTATTATTTCTGTCCCCAAACTATCTCCTCCTTGAAGACTTCCCATTGCTCGTTAGCTGTTTTACCTGCCAATCTTTCTTTCAGTCCACCTTGGCTACGTCCCTTTTTAACTCACTGAAATTATCCCTCTTCCAGTTGAGTATCTTCACCTTTGATGCTCCTTGTCCATTTTCATAAGTACACTAAACCTAATGATGTTGTGATTGCTGTTGTCAACAACAACAAAATCACACTTATAGAGCTCCTTTCACGTCGGAAGGATGTCCCAAAGTGCTGAACAGTCAGGTGTCGGGGCCCGAGCATGGGGTGGGGTGGTGTAGGCGTGAGGGAAGGCATAGAGGTGAGAGGCAGACCAAAGGCACGGTCGAAGATAAGGGTCTTGAGACCGGCCTTGAAGGAGACAAGAGAAGAAGCGAGGTGAGGGGACCGTGGGATGGAGTTCCAGAGTGTGGGGCAGAGAGGTTGAAACCCCAGCCTCCGATGGTAGGGCGGGTTGGGTGGGAGACATGGAGCAGGCCGGAGCCTGATGAACGGAGGGAGCGGGCAGGTTGGTAGGGAATCAGCAGGTCAGAGAGGTAGGAGATGGCAAGGCCAAGGTGAAGACAAGTATCTTGAACTCAATGCTCTCCTACTAAAACCTGCTCCACTTGCCCCACTTCACTCCCCAGAACTAAATCCAGCACTGCTTCCTTCCTCGTTGGGCTGGAAACACATTGATCCAGAAAGTTATCCTGCACATCCTTTCCCCTCCTTGCACTGTTATTTTACCAGTGTATATTAGGATAATTGAAGTCCCCCATTATTAACATTCTATTGGTTTTGCATCTTTCTGAAGCCTGCTTGCAGATTTGCTCATTTATCTCCTTCCCATTATTTGGTGGTCTATACTATACACCTAACAGAGTAACAGATCCTTTTCTGCTCCTTAACTCTAACCAAATAGATTCTGTTTTTGGACACTCTAGCACATCGTCTTTTCCAGGTCAGTAACCGTGTCTTTAATCAATATTGCCACGCCCCCCCCCCCTCGTTTTTTGTCCTTCACTATCCCTCCTGAATACATTGTAACCAGGAATATTCAGCTCCCATTCCTGCCCTTGTTTGAGCCAGGTCTCCTTTATTGCCATACATCATAACCCCACGTGGAAACTTGAGCCTGCAGCTCACCAACCTTATTCAACACACTCTGTGCATTTATGCACATGCACTCCAAGATCGTTTTAGTTTGTTCTGCATTTCTCTCTCATCTAATCCCTCCTTTTTCTACATTATTCCTTATTACATTGTTATTCTTCTCTCCCAGCCCTCTATGTAATTTGTTTGTTGTCTCTAATGCTACATCCTGATTCCCTTCCCCCCTCAAAATTATTTTAAAACCTTCTCCACAGCATAGTTAACCTCCCTGCGAAGACGTTGGTCCCTGTTCAGGTGTAACCCATACACCTTGTACTGGTCCAAACTGTCTCAGAGCTGGTACCAATGATTCAGGAACCCTGAAGCTCTCCTTTCTGCACCATTTCTCCACCAATGCATTCATGTGTTTCATCCTGCTGTTTTGATACTCACTTGCACGAGGCACTGGGAGTAATCCAGAGATCACCACCTTTGAGGTCCTATTCTTTAGCTTTTTCTCTAGCTTCTGACACTCTCCTTGTAGGATCTCATCCCTTTTTTTCCCTACGTCATGGATCCCAACATCGACCACAACCTCTGGATGTTCCCCTTCCCCCTGTAGACATTTTCCACCCATTCCATGATGTCTTCAACCCTAACACCAGGAAGGCAACACACCATGCGAGAGTCACGTCTTGGTTGCAGAAATGCCTGTTTACTCCTTTCATCCCAATGACAATTGCATTGACACTTTTCCCTGTGTCCCCCTGTGCATCCAATTGCTTTTGACTCCCCTCCCTAGAGCTATCATCACCCTGACCGGTATTCAGTACAGAGAATCAGTTTGTGAATGCCACACTGTCAGGGGATTTCTGCATGGTCCGTTCCCTCATCCTATCATGCCAGGTGGTCAACCACCCACTCTCCATCTGAACCCTCTGTGGCTGTGGGGTGACCACCTCTTGAAATGTTCAATCCATGAACTCATCACCTCCCGTATGCTTTGTAATGACACCAGCCTTTCCTTGAGCTCAGAAACTCCAGCCGAAGACACTTCCTATACATGTGCTTGTCCAGGCCACACAAAGCATCCTGGAGTCCCCACACGGCATACATTGTGCATGCAACCTGTCTCAGCGGCCCTGACATTTTTTTATATTATTTTAATTTAACTTACATATTTTGTAATTATGCACCTCTTTGCCCATCTACATCGAATTCCCATTCTCACCAAGTTTCTTAACAGAATTCTCATTCTGTTCCATCTCACTCAGTTCCCTCCTCATGCTGCTGGGATCTCTGCTCAAGTGACGCTCTTGCAAGTCTTCTCCTTTATATAGGACTCCAACAAAAGCATACAATTTCGACTGGTCAGCAGCTTTAAAGTAGCTAATTATTTTGTTATCAACCTTTCCTTCTACACTGGTACAGTGCCCCCTCCGCTTTCAAAGCAATAGTCATCACCCTAATCACCCACCCCCACCCCACATCTCAATATCCCTCCTTGCTCTCCAGCTACTGACCCATCTCCAAACTGCCCCTGAACTCCAAGGTGTTGGATTCAGTTGTTCCCGCACAGCTTCACTCCTTCCTTTCCCATCCCTCCTTCCTTTAGTCCCTCGAATCCAGATTCTGCCCTGTCAACCGAGTCTGCGCTGGTAAACGTTGCCAACTACATTCTCTCCATTTCCAATCAGACATGTCTTCGCCCCCTTGTTTTCTTTGTCCTCTCTGCAGCTTTGACACTGTCATGTCCTCCATCATGCCCAGGCTGATTATTCCATTGCCCTGCTGGACAGACTCCCCACCTCTCCTGCCAACAGTACAGATGCCAACCTAATTTGCTTGGCAGCTCTCTTGCTTCTGAATCAGAAAGGTGTGAGGTCAAGCCTTGAGCTCAGGACTTTAAGAGTTTAGGCTGACACTCTGTTTGAGGTTCCATCCTTTAAACCAATGCCCTGTCTGCCTGTTCAGGTGATGTTAACGATCACATGGCACAAAACATAGAAAGCAAACTTAGCACAGGAGTCTACACTGACTCTCAGAGAAAAGTGTTCAATCAATCCCACTGCTCTCATCATCACTGTTTTTATAACTACAGTATCTTATATCTACAGCCTCCAGTCATTGACCCTCTGCTCATGGGAATAGTTTCTCCCTCTTGACCCTGTCAAACCCTCACCATTGCGTTCACCTATATCAGCTCCTCTCAACCCTCTCAGCTCCAGTGAAAGCCCACCTCTCCGAGCCCTGTCCCTGCAGCTCACCTCTCCTAGCCCCACCTCCCCAGCCCACCTCTCCTAGCC